CAGGTGAAATTTAGGGGGGGAACGGAAAAATATTTACCAGTAAAATGAGGGGGTTTGAAAATTTTTATCAGAGAATTGGGGGGATGCCAAAATTTTAGAAGCTACGAGAGATTGCCCGGGGGGGATAGTAATTTTTTGGGGGACTTCAAGGAGAGGTCTTAAGATTTTTTTTGTCATTTAAAGATTTCACCTGCGCCCCCCCCCCCTGCCATACAGTATGAATGCAGCCTAAACATAAAGATACTATATACTATACAATGAGAAGAGAAATGGGAAAACATTGCACCACGATGAATACGGTCTATTACTTTATTTTGGGTTTGCAATCAAAGTCATCTTGTTTCTTACTTATCATTGCCTCCAGAGATGCTTTTGGGATCTTAAAGCCAAGAGTTCTCATAGCTTTTCGAAGTTCTCTGGCATCAATGGAACTGTAAAAAAATTTAGAGCAATATAAAACATCCTTTTGCTTCTCTTCATTATCCTTTTCAGAGCCTTTTTTATTAGTCAGTTGACATTTTATTCATCAAGAAACAAAGAAAATTTGAAAATTAACACATCGATTGGTGAGACCAGCTATGACACCACATGCACCCAAGAATAGCGTTTTCCACACATGATGTCACAACTGTGCATCATAAGATCGAAATGCTGCCAAGCCAAGTGCACATGCTAATATACTGCAACAATACTTTTAGTCTTGTTTCCAATTCATGGAAGAACTATGGTTTTTCAACTGTATTATTCCTCCTTTCAGTGTAATCAAAGCCTTTATTTGCAATGTTTATCTGCATTTCGATCCCACAAGGCTTGGCAATATCTTTTTTAGTAACCATGAAATATAATATGCAGGTTATTCATTGCCAGCAAGCAAAAAAGATGCCCTATTAGTGTTAAACTGCCCCCTCAAACAGCCCCAAAATGCAACAGGTTCTGCACGTATATGAATAACGAAGGCTTAGGTAAGATAAAGTATCTATTTTCGTTATTACTAACCCACTTCTGTCTGTATCAAATGTGTCAAACACTATTCTCAAATCTCTAATCTCATGAGGTGTGAGTTGTTCATATGCTTTGCTGCTGATTTTCCCTTTCATAAATCTACGTTCTTTCTCCATCTCAGCTTGCTGTACAGCTTCCACGAGCTTTAAAAATAAGAGAAAATACCCATATAATTCAAGCACATGTGTTTGTCACRAGTTCACAATTTGCAGATACTGTAAAAGTGTAGTTTACTTACTCTTTCTCTTGCAGTGCTCTTTCGTGTGGGTGTAGGACTCAACGACACAGAAGCCATTTGCTGTACCATGGTTTTATTGGAGACTTTACCGATCTCAGTCGTAGTTTCAGGTGACTTTGTCGACTTTTTCTTCTTGACTTTCTTCTTTCCTTTTCCCGTCTTTTTGGGCATATTTGTACTACTAAATCTCACACGATTGCTGAAATAATTACTCAAGACTTACATCATGTTATAAACTTCGCAAATATTCATGAACTTCAGCTGGCGAGTGTTATTAAAAGGCTATAAAATGGTAATAAAATTCGATAGAAAAAAGTCAATACTTGAGATCCGCCATGTTGTTTATTTGGTTGTTATGGTCGGCTCGGGGTCGGCTCGGACGGTCCTCGGACGGTCCTCGGACCACAGGTAGCCCAGGCTCATAGTTAGAAGGTAATTACAGAATGGATCGAGAGACAGACAGACAAAGATTATATGGGTGTTATATGGAACCCGCAACTTCGGGGTAATTTTTGGTAAAACTATGAACTGCAGCTACAGCTTCACTTCAAAATGAGTCAGACAAGAGCCTGTGCAAAGAAGTATGAAATGAGCTTGAGGCTAAGGAGAGCATGTATAAAATGCCCACACTTGTGCGCTGTCTCAAGCTCCCAGGCATAAAGGAATGAGAGTTGGATAACGTCCTCCAAACTGTTTCATGTACACTGACACGTCTGTTGTCAGTTCAGTTGTTCCCTAAATGAGGGGGACCGTTATTCTTTTTTATCCTTGTTTTCAATCAATGTGAACACACAGAGCATTCTTAGTTTGCAATACACCCCGCCAGAATTTGGGTAGGGGTGTTCCGCTGGGATTCTGAAAGGGGTACCCTGTTTATGACAACAACAAAAAATCAAATTTGTAGACCCTGTTTATGACAAAAGATATAATTAATTGCACTGAGTTCCCGTTTCAATTATCATGTCATCTCGCGTATCGTTTTTTTACGACCATAATAACCAGTTTCGGTCAATACGAAAGTAGAAACCCTGAATATGACAAGAAACTCAGGAAGAACTTGGACCTTGAGTGAAATTGCATACCCTGTTTATGACAAGAAGCTCGAAAACCATACCCTGTTCAGCGGATCATCCCTGTATAGTCCACATATGGGAGTACCCCCGCCCCCGGGCAACACGTCACTTCCTGCGAAGTGCCATYAGTGAAAACCGGAAGTCGGCCATCCCGCAATCTCGTACCCAGAGCCCATGTTCCTCATGGTCAGATTGACAAACCTTCCGAAGCATGTATGTCAGAAGTGCACGCCTTCTCCGGCTTCCAAGCTCCATTTCTTCGATGATTCGTCATGCCAACTCTTTACGCAGTATATAAGTGTGGATACAACAATATCCGCGACAAGGAATACGAGTTTTTTAGAATTCCAAAGATAATTTTGCATCAAGGAGAACAAATTAAGAAACTAACTGCGGAAAGAAGAGCGCTATGGCTGAAGAACATAATCCCCACCAAAATAGATTTCACGGAGAAAAAGGCAGATGGAACCAGCAGTGTTGGTAACGTTACCTTGCATATAGGGGCGCCTTGCATATAGGGGCGCCTTGCATATAGGGGCGCCTTGCATATAGGGGCGCCTTGCATATAGGGGCGCCTTGCATATAGGGGCACTTTCCATAAAAGGCCATCGGTTGAATGATATATGATATGAATT